AGCCTAGGCAACAGAGTGAGACACTATCTCAAAATAAAAGGCGGAGGGAGGGGAGCAAGAAAAGTGGATAAGTTTTTTTCACCATATGGGGTTTGGCCTCAAGATCCTTGAAGTCAGCCTCTTTCACTCCAAACATGGTTTGGTAATAGTCTAGGTTCTGCCGCATTTCCAGGTGCTCAGGATTGCCCACAAAGAAGGTGTGTGCTGCTGCCACAGCTTTCTCCAACTTGTTTATCTACAAAGGAAGCACAAGAATATAATGTGCACATCTGAACCCTGAAGGTTTGTGTCCAGAAGTGCAGTCCACATCAACAGGAAATCCCAGAGAGGTTTCAGAAAGGAGGGAGCCTTTCTGATTCCTCCACCAAGTGTGCTCAGCCTTTGCCAGCCCCAGAAAATACACCTTTTACAGGAACTACACACCAGAGATTAGGAGCACAGGGCTCTAGGAAGATTTGTAGCTACTTCCAAAGTCAGGTTTGGGGGTTCCCCAAATTAAGGAGGTAATGCTTCAGCAATGTAGATAGTGTACTTTAAAACAAAGGTCATATTTGTAGGGGAAGAACTACAAAAGACTGCCCAAGTAATATACTTTCATGATTCAAATGTAATGACTGACTGAAAAAGTCTAAGGCAGATGTGTCTGACGATTTTTCCCCCTGTGGCACACCAGAAGAACAAAAGTTGTATAAGGCAACACAATAAATACACAGACACAAACAAAAGCTGATTAGCAAACTTTTTGTGATATCAGGCACCATAGATAAGCCAAAAAACTCCTCATGAAATCAGCATGTGGCCTTTAGACACCCCTAAGGTCTAAGGCTTTAAGAATTTAGGGGTATGGGCAGCACCTGTGGCTCAAAAGGGTAGAGCGCCAGCCCCATATGCTGGAGGTGGCGGGTTCAAACCCAGCCCCAGCCAAAAGAAAAAGGAATTTAGGGGTAGGCCAGCCAAGGTGGCTCATACCTATAATCCTAATACTCTAGGACGCCGAGGCAGGTGGATTGCTTGAACTCATGAGTTCGAGATCAGCCTTAGCAAGAGTGAGACCCGTCTCTACAAAAAATCAAAAACTGAGGCAAGAGGATCACTTGAGCGCAAGAGTTGGAGGTTGCTGTGAGCTATGATGCCATGGCACTCTACCAAGGGTGACAAAGTGAGATTCAATCTCAAAAAAAAAAAGAAAAAATTTAGAGGTAAGAAAGAGCAGTTAACATTTAGACTGTGCCTAAGAATTTTCCAAAAAGTACTTTTTTTTTTTTGCATAAAATAAATTGTTTTTGAGATATCCAGGCAAAAGGTGGATGGCTGAAAAATCCCAAGGTCCTTTACTAAACCTAGACATGGTGTCTTCTGACTTAATGCCCAGGGATTATGAAGTTAAAATAAATGGCTATAAGAAATTTGAGGGGAAAAAATGTGCTATGGGCCACAGTAATGTCCACAGTGATGGAATCCAGCATATTAGTAACACAGGTTCACATGCAGAATCCAAAAAAATAAATCACTGATGATTTCACCAATGATCCATTGATTAAATACATGAGCTTTGGTGTTGGATGTGTCAGCAGCAAACCTAGTTTAATCACTCATTGGGCTTTGGACAAGATAAAGTTTACTCTCTAAACTCAGTTTCCTAATCTGTCATCTGGAGATAGCACTCACTAGCTAACCTCAAAGGACTGATAGGATGGTTAATGAGATGATACACAAGCAGCTTCTATCATGTGGTGCTGGGCACATGGTAAGTGCTCAATAAATGTTGGCTAGTATTATTAGTACGCTAATAGGCTCGGTGCCTGTGGCTCAAGTAGCTAAGGCGCCAGCCACATACACATAAGGTGGCAGGTTCGAATCCAGCCCAGGCCTGCCAAACAACAATGATGGCTGCAACCAAAAAAAATAGCCAGGTGTTGTGGCGGGTACCTGTGGTCCTAGCTACTTGGGAGGTAGAGGCAGGAGACTCGCTTGAGCCCAGGAATTGGAAGTTGCTGTGAGCTGTGATGCCATAGCACTCTGCCCAGGGGTACAGCTTGAGGCTCTGTCTCAAAAAAACCCCAAAAACTAGTATGCCAATAAAATGATTTTTCTTATCACAGGTACTAGTAAAAGCACATTAAAGGCATCAGCCCAGTTAGGTGACCCAAGGTAAATGATTACCCACCTCTATACCTTGGTTTCTTTAACTGTAAAATTAGAAATTCTCTCCCATCCCTTTTAGGGATTTACTCTCTCCCCTGGGTCTTTCAGCACTGCTCCTGTCTTTCTCTGTTCTCCTCATCTTTTCACGCCCCTCCCCACCAGGAGCTCTCTTTATTGCTTAAGCACTGAGGCACCTAACCTTCTCTCTTGTGGACAAATGCCCATGTCTCCTAATCATTTGCCCAGCTAAGCGGGACTTACTCCCTATGGGTTCCCCAGCGGAGATTCTAAAACTTCTGAGGACAGCTCCTGAGGCCTGGAGAATTCTCTT